CCCCCCCGGCAGGAATGGAAGCCCAGGTCCCTGGGCTGGGCTGCTGCCGAGCACGCGTAACACCGTCTCTTGCTGCGCTTTCAGACGCGGATGCAGAGCTTGCAGCCGGAGCCTGCCGCCCGCTACCGGAACGTGCTCGAGGCCCTGTGGCGGATTGTCCAGACGGAGGGTTTCTGGAGGCCGATGCGGGGCATGAACATCACAGCCACGGGGGCTGGCCCTGCCCACGCCTTGTATTTCGCCTGCTATGAAAAGTTAAAAAAGACATTGAGTGATGTCATCCATGCTGGGGGCAATAGCCATGTGGCCAACGGTATTGATCCTTCCTGCACCGCCATCCCTGATGGGCTAGAGCAGCTGAGAGCGGCCCTGCTGGCTGGGGTGGTAAAGTCATTGGCATCCCCAGAAGTCTGGGCCCCTGTGTTCCCCCAGCATGAGTCGGTAGAACTCAGACTGGCTGTCAGTGGTTCTTTTCCCCTGTCTGCCATCTCCCAGACACTGCCCTGACCCGTACTGCTCTGTACCAGCCCTGCGGGCTTCCCAGTGGCTGTGCAGCAGTGGCTGCAGTTCACCCAGGGAGAGTATGCGTGGCACTGGTGGTGCTTGCTACCTATTTAGACCTAGTTCTGGAGCCAGGTGCAGCAATGGGGAAAACAGATGTGTCCCAGTAAATGGAGGGGGGGGGTGCTAGTTCTTTGGGCAGTGAGAAAGAGGATCTGCCCCACATAGGGTAGGGCTTGCTTGCCGTGTCTATCTTCAGGGTGCTGTTATGGCACCCATTTCCTCTGCAGCCTGGGGCGGGGTTTCCTTGGTGATGGTAGTGAACAGCCAGGGAGACAGGGTTGATAGGAATGGCTGGGCTGACACCTAATCCCACCACACCAAAGCAGTCAGTTTCAGGATGGTGCAGGTGGCCTATAGCAATGTCCTCTCGCCAGTCACTAGCTAGCACCCATCTTCACAGTGCTCTCTTCCACTCCACCCGTCCCTCCCACCCGGCGCTGGGCAGGGGGAGTGTTGTACTCATGCTGCACCTCTTCGTAGACCTGTCTGAGCTGTTCCTAGGTATCTGGCTTTGAGGAACAGGTTAGTGGGGCTGGGAGCTGGTCAACACCTGCCCCTTGCTCACAGCAACACCTGTGGATGGGAGCTGCCTGCAGGACTCCCCTCGTCTCTGAGCTGGGATTGACTGCAGCCTTGTGGGTAGGTAGAGCGGAGCAGGGTCTAGGATGCAGCCCTCATTCCCGGTGGGGCCTTTGACGTTCTCAGGCTCCCCACATTGCTGTGCTCAGACAGACTTGGGACTGGTTGAACTTATTGAACTTATTGGGGGGGGGGGACACCCTGTGGGTCCTGGGCGCAGGGGGTCCTGGCTGTGGAGTGGTTTCTCACTCTGGTGGTGGGCCACATGGTCCCTGTACGTCTGTTGTTTGCACCATCTCGACCGGGTGCTGGGATTAAATGAAGTTTCGTGGTCTCCATAAGGACCCGGCACATGATAACACTGCCTGCCCCTGCCGCCCCAGTTTGTGGGCTCTGAGGCTGGGGGTTGATGACACCAGCTCTCCTCGTGGGCGGCATGTAGGGCGACGTGAGGCTTCATCAGTCTTCTCCTTGTTGGCCCTGGAGCCCTGGCAGACAGTGTCTCCCTCTTCTCTGCTGAGGGGCTCTGGGGCTCTCCCCCTCTACTCCCCTCACATGTCTCAGTTCTTGCTTTACAGGTGCAGCAGGGTGTGTAGCAACATTGCTCCATGATGCAGCTATGAACCCTGTGGAAGGTAATGCTGACCCCATCCCCTCTGCAGGGGAGGCCCCATAAGTGGGAGAGTGAGGTGATCCCCTCTGTGCAGGAACCAAATTCACCTCTGTGCTGTGCTCCTCACTCTGTCCTATCTAGAGAGAGCCCTGCAGAGAGCAGCAGCCCCTGCCTAGGGCCCAAGCCTGGATAATCCAGGGTATCCAGCTGGGGCATTGAGTAACCAGCAGGTTTTGATCCTAGGAGAGAGGAGCCAGTCTCTG